TACTAGAAAAGCTTAAATTATACATGTGGCTCACATTAAATTCCTTGTTAAGAGTCAGCTTCCACTTCTGGGGAGAAATTTTCATAGATGGTGATGCATTCTTCCATCAGAGGCCCAAATCTGGTTGTCTTGTTGGAATCTTATCAGACACTGATGTTCAAGATCTAAAATTCAGTCATTTACTAAGGGTTGCAAAATGGTGATATTCTTATTCTTTCATTCTGTTTTTTTTTTGTTGTTGTTGTTGTCTTGTTTTTTTGAGAAAGGGTCTCACTCTGTCACCATGGAGTGCAGCAGCATGATCCTAGCTCACTGTAACCTCAAACTCCTGGGCTTAAGGGATCCTACTGCCTCAGCCTCCCGAGTAGCTGGGACTACAGGTGGGCGCCACAACATCCGGCTAATTCTTGTCCTTTTTGTAGAGATGGGGTCTTGATATATTGCTCAGGCCAATCTCAAACTCCCGGCTTCAAGTGATCCTCTCTTCTTGGCCTCCCAAAGTGCTGGGATTGCAGGTGTGAGCCACTGCACCCAGGTTGAACTGAGTCTTTAAAATTCCCTTCCAGATGATGAAGAGGGACAGGGTCCTTCAGGCAGGAGGAAACAGCCTGAACAAAACCCAGGGCTGAGAAACATCCTGCTTTGCAAGAACAAGCAGTTCTGGGTTGCCTGAACTGGGTGGGGCTGCACCTCCTTGGACCTCTCCTGTAGGCAGGGGCTGGCCAGCTCCGAGAAGGTTTCAGGCCTGAGAAGAACGGATTTGCCTTGTGAGTGGAGACCGCCCTCTGGCGGCCACATGGAGGATGGCAGGGCAAGAACAAGCCCTGAAAGGAGGCGATCCGCTGAGCTCACAAACGCTTCTATACTTCATGTATTTATAAATTCGATTCTTCCAGACTGCAAGGAGAAATCACACAGTGTTGGCACTAGAAACTCAGTACCCTTTGGGACAGTCTAGACTCTAGTGACCCACTGGCTCTCTGTGTGCCTGGCACTTGCACTTCCCTGGAGAGAAGACCCTATGGGGAACATTTGCTACCACACAACTTGTTCTAATTCACCCAAAGAGCAACCTCTCGGTGGGTGCAGCCCTCAGGAATATGCGAACAATACCTTTGTGTGAATTAGAAAAAGGAATGTTATGGGTTGAATTATGTGCCCCCAAAAGATATGTTGAAATGCTAACCCATAGCACCTGTGAATGTCACATTATCTGGAAATGGAATCTGCAGATGTTATCAAGTCAATATGAGGTCTAATTGAATTAAGGTGGGTGTCTAATCCAGCATGACTGGTGTCCTATAAGAAGAGAAATCTTTGGGCCAGGTGAGGTGGCTCACAGCTATAATCCCAGCACGTTAGGAGCCAAAGCGGGAAGATTGTTTGAGGCCAGAAAGAGAGAAACCTGGACACAGACACACCAGGAGAAACGCTATGTGGTAACAGAGGCAAAGACTGGAGTGTGGCATCAGCCAGGCTCGGCCCCAGGGACAGGCTGACTGCCACCCTGAGGGATTTACTTCCAAGTTGGAATCCTGATGACAGCAGCTGCCAGGCAGTGGCTGGGTGATGAGCACTTGGTCCCTGCTGCCCCCCTCAGAAGGCCTGCCTGAGAATCAAGTGTGGCATCTCAGCCCCCATCTCAGCCCTGGTGTTGACACTGCGGCCTGAGGCCAGGGGAGACTGGTGGAAGGTGTGTGACGTAGACCTGCCACTGACTCTTTATTCTTCTCCACCTGGGCCCCAGCCCTGTAGACCAGGTCCCACCCAACATGGCTGCCTGATAAGGAAGGGCTAGGAAACAGATGACAGGCGAAGATGGGGACCAGAGGACTGTCACCCTCAGCTGGGCTGGGGTGTGAGCATGCACGCAGAGGAGGCTTGGGGAGGCTCAGGGAGGTGGGGGAGGCAGGGCAGGGCTCCCGACACCTGGTGCTTCCTCCCAGCCTGGGCTGGCTTCCTGGAGAGGATGGCATTCTCAGAAGAAGCCTGACAGTGTGGGGACAGGCCACACACAACCCTGTCTCAGTACACAGAAGAATTCCAAGTTGGCATGACCCATAGGGAAGCAGTGATCATGGACTGAAGTAGACCCTGGTCGGAGGTGGCCTGGGGGAGCCACACCTGTGATCCCCCAAGGGTGTCATTTCCAAACCCCTCTGCCCAGCCCCGTCTTTCCAACCCTCAGCAGTCACAGAGCTCGTTTTCCTGGCCATATCACATTCCCTCTTTCCACACTGGGACACCAAGTCTCCGCTGGGGACGGAGGCTGATCTTCACCTTTCTGCTTCCTGCCCTGGCCTCTCCCCACACCCCAGTGGTCTTTCTACCTCAAGGATGACTCCTCCTTCCCTTTCTTCCTCTCTCAACTCTGACCATACCTGGCCCTTTCCTCATAAACTTACCAACCTGGCTTCGCAGGGACCTTAGCAGTTTGACCTATTATGAACTTTTCTCTGCTTCCTGGGCCAAGCCCGGTTCCTCCAGGGACATGCTGCTTTCTAGTGCCCTCTCCCACCTCAGGCCAAGCCCTCTCCACACTCCTCACCCATCACTTGGGATTCACACAGAGGCCGGATGGGGGATGAAACCCCTTCCAGCCCCCCCAGTCCCATGCCAAGGCCCCATTACTCAGGGAGAAGAGTGGGGACAGGGCGCTGGAGGAAGATCCCCAGGATCTAATCCCCACAGCCCCCAGCCCAGGTGTCCAGTTCTCACTTGAAGGTGGTGCCCGTGCCCCTTGGGGAAAGAACCCAGAGGAAAACACTGGAGATGCCAACACTGAAGTTTGCACCAAGCTGAGGTACAGAGGTGCAATAAATAGGCCTTGCATCTCAAAGGGAGCCAGAGCAGATCACATGCAACACATTGAAGGCAAATGGTTGAGAAGTGACTCTTTAGCCCCTCACCCACCACAAGGAACAGAGTTTGGAGAAGGAGGAAAGAGGGTGTGGGGAAAGGCTTTCAGAGTACTGTGAGCACCACCTGCAAAGGGCCAGACTTCCCACAACAGGATCAGTGACAAGAGTTTGGTACATCCCCAGTGTTTGGGGAAGGTGCCCACCAGGGAAATCTAGCAGCCGATTGTGGCTGTCTGGATGTCCCCATGGCAGGAGAGAAGGAAGGACAAGTGCCACAGTGGGACCTGAACTCCAAGAGCTCCCAGGCCACGATGCTCATGGCTGGAGCTGGGTTTTCCATCCCTCACGCCCTAGAATAATGGGATTCCTGTGGAGCAGACCCGTGTGGAGAGCATGGGCAGAAGCCCAAGGCCAGAGGATGAGGCAGAGAAAGCTCAGGAGCTGCCAAAAGGGCCTAACAGGGACACCTGTGAGGGATCTGTGAATGTCCCCAGGAAGAAGAGAGATCAGCTCTGGCAATCTGAAGGCCCAGAGAACACCACGTTCCTGTGACAGCCTTGTCCAACTAGACGTTTCTGGCATTCTTCCCCCATCTCTACCCTACACTCTAAGTCAGGGCTGGTAATAGCAGCTATTACAGGAGGAGTAGGGAAGAGGTCAGTCTTACCTTTGCACACTCTACCTTCCCCAACTGCCACTGTTAGGCCAAGTAGGTAGCCTGGCCTTGCCAGCGAAGAGAAAATTCCTATCCTTGGATAAAGACTGCAGTGTTTATTACCACAGGAACTAAACATGCTATGCACCAAGTTAATGTAGAACTTATTACCTGAGGTAAGTCATGGGACTGCCTAAGTTTTCATCCAACAACAAGGGAAAATTCTTCCACTGAATATATATTTTTCTTTCTTTCCTTTTTTTTTTCGTTTTTTCTTTTTCTTTTTTTTTTCTGAGACAGCGTCTTGCTCTGTCACCCCGGCTAGATGCAGTGGCATCATCATAGCTCACTGAAACCTCAAACTCCTGGGCTCAAGTGATCCTCCGGCCTCAGCCTCCCCAGTATCTGGGACTACAGGTGCACACTAGCACATCTAGCTAGTATTTCTATTTTTAGTAGACAGGGGGTTTCACTCTTGCTCAAGCTGGTCTCAAACTCCTGTCCTCAAGCAATCCTTCTGCCTTAGCCTTCCAGAGTGCAAGGATTACAGGTATGACCCACCGTGCCCAGCCTCTAAACCTTTGAATTTTAATTCATTTATTCTTTGCAACAGTCCACAGTGCTAAGCCGAATACCAGGCTTGAAGTATGTCTTTTTTTTTTTTTTTTTTTTAAGACAGAATCTCACTCTATTGACATGGCTAGGGACATTTTGCCTTTCTACTAATTAAAATGGAACC